GCTCTCGGGGCCCAGCCTGTGAGTCTAGCATCGGCGGCCTGGAGAATGGAAACTCCACCACATGCTATAGGTTTGCCTGGGCATTTTTCTCCTCACAACAGCTCTAATGACCTTGACATCAGGCTCTTACTGGGGATTAATAACTGGCTGGGCTTAATGGCCCTTGCTGTGTCCTGGGCCATTTTCCCAGCCGGTCATTAATTCCAAGCAGTGCCCTGGGCTCTGGCCATTATGGCTCCCCGGGTGGAGTGGCCGTCCTGAGGCAAATGGCCACAGCCTCCTTCTCTGCAGGCAGAGGCTTCCACAGAGCACTCTTCTGCTGTCCATGGTGTCAGTATGAAAGCTTGAGGTCTGCAGTCAAGTTGGTACTTAGGGTAACACATTATGTCTACTTTCTATTGCTCATGAGATAGGTTTGCTCCGAGGACAGAGAAGACAGGAGGCTGCTTTCATTTGTTCGTTTATCAATCTGTCCATCGATTCAGTATGTATTGGATGCTTTTTATAGATCAGGATGCATGAGAAGTAACCAAGATTAGAGCAGCCTTATATGGATGGCCTTATCCGCCACCCATGGATGGCCCACACCACCAGAGGGCGCTTCAAGGAGTTGGTCTCAAGAATCGGATGAATACTTGAATACTTGTGAGAAACAGAGGTCTTCTTAGGCAGTGAGCTCCCTGAAGATTGCCTCCCCTCTTGTCTTTGGAGTTTTATGTTCCCTGTTGATTAGCAGAGCCACACATTTACCTCAAGCTCTTTCTCAAACTCTTAGTGATTCATCTACTCAGCATCTGAGTGTGAGGGAAGAACACATATACTGCATCAGGAATCTTAACTCAGCAACCGGTGGATATTTGCACCCACACCAGTAAGAACCAAGAATGACACTGATACTGTGGTGTGGAGAGCAGGGCTCTTTCAAAGGACTGTCACACGTCCTGAGAAACAGGGTCACACAGTTTAATCATTCCTAGTCATTCTGCCTCCTAGACCATCATCAGCTCCTCCCAATGCAGAAAACAGACTTCATTTCCTCCTTTGGAACTTATTCAACCTTTGGTGCATGCTCTTCTCAGCTGCGGGAAGTGTAACATTGTGTTTTGAACAGCTATTGTCATTTTATTGGCACCACTCACCAACAGGCACTTAAGGCATAATTCAGACTTCAGTCTTTTTCTCATTGTTTGGTGCATCTGCACAACTCAAAGAGAGGGTGTTGGTGCCCAAGGTAATTAATACCTCAGAGCTGAAGCAGGTGGGCAGGAATTGTGAGGGAGGTTTTCTGGAACTGGGCGAACCCTGGCATGTTCTAGTGGTGCCCGTAATCACTGAGGGCCAGTCAGGAACCTTGGTCTTCCATGAAAGGGTCTTCTGTTGGCCTCATATGGAATAAAAGAAAGAGGGAGAATTATAGGAGAAAGAGAAGGCTGTGAAATCTCCAGAAGGTGCTATTGGCTTCATTTCTCAACCAGTCTGTGCTTCAGGAATCATAGCAGAATAATTAATTATGGTGAAAGAGATTTGGGATCTTTCCTCAGAATGTCTTTCCAATAAAAATGAATGTAATGTCTTGAGTTAAACTGGGAAATTCAGCATGATAATCTTAGGTGAGTCTGATGAGAAAAAGCAGATTCCAATGGCCTTGGGGTTCAGTGGAATGAAATAATAAGGTTACAGAGTGACCTTTTTAGGCAAATGTACTGAGTTACACAGAACCTCAGGGCTGTATTAAGTCCTCAATAAATAGATGACTTCCAAATGAATATGCAAATGAGTACCATCTGGTCACAAGCATCCATTCTTTCTTTTAAGAGAGTGAAGTACCTGATTTGTAGAAAAAGTCTTCTGGCTCCAATCACCATTGAGGAGCATGCTATTTTCGGATGCTCCTTGCCATCCGTGAAGGTATTTTTTTAGTAGGCTTCCTTCTGAGTGGCAATAAAGTGATCCACCATCCTGGTCTGCTCAGGACTGAAGTTTCTCACAATGCAGCATCTTAACTGCTAACACACCCAGAATTCCCATTAAAACAAGCAAACAAACAGGTCAGTTGGTCAACCCAGAGTAGCAGTCTGTTCTATAGATCTTTCCTTTACCACCAGCACCTCTACTGAGCCCTCTGCAGCCAACACACCCGCACATCCAACCACAGTCAGAAAGTGTTACCTCTGTTCATTAATACTATTTTGGCTGTGGCCACCAAATCCAACATATACCTTCCATGCCTGACTTCACTTGTCCTAGCCTGCTTTATGACATCATTGGCCACCCCCTCTTTTCAAAAAGTGTCTCCTCTCCATGCTTCCTTGCCCGACTTTCCTCCATCAACAGGCTCCAACTCTTCTGGACATGCTCAGCTGTCCCCTCGCCTTTGGGCCCAGGCTCCTTGTGCCTATGTATGGTGGTGCTTCCTGCCACTGTCTGGGTGCCCTCACCCAGAGGGACTGGCTGCCCTCCTTACTTCCTGTGCTCTGCAGTCAGATTTCCTAGATTCAAATCCCAACTCTGCCATTTCCTAGCAAGTGCCTTCACTTTCCTATCCCCCAATATTCTCATTAGTCAAATAGGGGTGATACTACAGTCATCAGATACAGCGTTATTTTAAAAAGTAATGTGATACTATATAAAGCCCAGAACAATGATTGGCACACAGGTTTCATCGAAGAATATTAACTAGATTGACCTATTTGTGCTTGTGCGCCCAGGCTTGCTGGGCCCCTCTGCTGTGACTTCAGCACAGCCCCTCATCACCCTGTCACTCTTTGTTGCACTCTTTACTGCCCACTGTCCCCTAGAGTATAAGCTTTATTTTATTTATTTTTAAAAGCCTTTTTTTTTAAAAAAAAATAATACAGTAGTTTATTTTTACATCATTTGTGCCTTTTCCCATCTCAGTTGTAATCCCCATGGGCTTCCCATCACCATAGTCCAGTACACATCCCTCCCCCAACTGTTTTTGATCTCATTCCCCATTTCACCCCCGTAAAATGTCTCTGGTATATAGTTGTTCATTATTACTATTATTTTCACGCATGGTCTAAAGGCCCCTCTTTTTTTTTTTTTTTAATTTTTTTATCTTTATTTATGCACATGGGAGCTAGGGTGTAGGCCAGAGGTAGGGGAATGGAGATGAGAAGATTCACCAGAGACAGAGTGGGGAGTAGAACAGTGAAGCTGAAAAATACTCTGTTGAGGGGAGCAGCAGGCATGACAGGAGAGGTCTGCTGCTCCCTGATCAGGGATTGAACTCGTGCTACCAGAGGCTGATGATAGTTTCATAGTGCTGAGATTTAATCTCTTGTACCACCTAAAGAGGCTCTAAAGTATAAGCTCTGAGGAAGTCATTTCCCATTCTATTTCCTTTCTGACTGCCTACCACAGTACCTGTCACCTAAAAGCAATCAGGTATCAAATGAATGATGAGAGTTTGCAATGACAGAATCTCCATTTCAAAAGCCTACGTGTCAATTATTCCCCTAAGTGATAAGTACTGATTTGGTGAATACCTACAGTGCACTGCACACTGATTAATAATCTCAACAGAAGCTATAATTTCTTGAATCACCACTGTGCCAGATCTTATGCTAAGCACTGGGGTCAAACCCAAGTATTACATGTCAAATATTGGCAATTCCAAATAGTTCCATCTATTCCCTGTGTTTTAGCTTTTTCTATGCTATCATGATATGTGTGGGATTAATTATCTTCATTAAGAGAAGAGAAAACTGGGACTTGTGGAGGTTAGTGACTGGTGAAGGTCCCACAGCTAACAGGTGGTAGAAGCACAGCTGGTGCCCTTGGCCATTAGGCAGTGAGGGTAGAGAGTTGCTCCCAGGAACTCCCTGTCTGGTTCTGAAGACAGCTATCTATGGCTCAGGAAATTCCCAGAGTAAATACAATACTTAATGATGTAACACTAAATTGGATCTGATTTCTCAAGATTGTGCAGGGAGCCAGCGTGTCCCGTTCATAGTTAACAGGGAAGAAGGGTAGAGGCTCTGGGGGGAATCTAACAATGAACTTTCCTACAGAACCTACTTGATTGTCATTTTCTTGTGCACTTATTGGCCTTGGCCTTAGGTCCTAATTACACGATCTTCAAATAGCAACTAAGAGATATTCCTCATTAAACATGAACAGGACAATGTTTAATCTGTTAGAATAAGTGTTCAGAAAGTGAGTCATTGGTTCGGGGTGATGACATGAGCTGTCACTGGGGTTGTCCCTGGTGGGCTGGGGCTTCTGTGCATAGGCCGTGTTCACTCAATAAGCTCTGTCATTCTCTTTTTACATTTTTCAAAATGGGACAACTCAGTCTCCTCTCCTCTCCTCTCCTCTCCTCTCTCCCTCTTCCTTCCCCTCTCCCTCTCTCCTCTTTCCTCCCCCACCCCATGATAATGGGAGAAACTATCCTAATTGCCACTTCAAATCTAGCATTTGAATGGTTACAATTTGCCTGTGGTTTCTCATGTGATTGTTAGACAATGTGTATTTGGATAAGTATGTTTGCATAGCATCCTAGAATGGTGATACATGCTTGACTTTTCATAAGGTAAGTTAAGAGCATCAAAACCAGTGTCACAGCAATTTGTACTGTAGTATTTCCTTCAACTTGTGGGTCAGATAAATCTTGCTTTTAAAGCATGACTAGATGCCTTGCTAGTTATGCACCCTGGGGCAAATTTCTTAACATGTCTGAGCCTGAACATCATCTGCAAAATGAAGGCAGAAGCAATTCTGAGGGGTGATTCGACAATTTGGTATAATAATTTAATACCAGTAAAGCCTAAGTCCAGGATTTGGCAGCTCATTTCCCCTTGTTAGATGCTCCGGGTCACCAACTTGGGAGAGAATGTAAGGATTGATGAGGTGACTGATAGTAAAAGACCTATTCTGTCGTGGGAGGGAGAGAAGGGGAGATGAACAGCCTTCTAGCTGTCAGGGAAGTAACCAGTGAAGGTTGCCACTGAAGGTGCCCTTCTTGTCCTGCCTTCCAGCCCCTCAAAATGCACTGCAGGGACTGCGCCCTGGTGACCAGCTCCGGGCATCTGCTGCGCAGCCGGCAAGGCCCCCAGATTGACCAGACCGAGTGCGTCATCCGCATGAATGATGCCCCCACGCGCGGCTATGGACGCGACGTGGGCAACCGCACCAGCCTGCGGGTAATCGCGCATTCCAGCATCCAGAGGATCCTCCGCAACCGCCACGACCTGCTCAATGTGAGCCAGGGCACGGTGTTCATCTTCTGGGGCCCCAGCAGCTACATGCGGCGCGACGGCAAGGGCCAGGTCTACAACAACCTGCAGCTCCTCAGCCAGGTGCTGCCGCGGCTGAAGGCCTTCATGATCACGCGCCACAAGATGCTGCAGTTCGATGAGCTGTTCAAGCACGAGACAGGCAAAGACAGGTAGGAGGCGTCCCAGCAGCGGGTGGCCAGGGACGCCAGGGATGACGCCTTTGCCGGCTGATTCACCCAAAGCAAAACTTGCTGGGGGTTTTGCTGGGGACATGCTTCGTGCCATTGACAGAGCTCATCTTTGGGCCTCCTGGAGACTGGGCTTCTCAAGAGGAGTTTATTTATTTATTTGAAAGGTATTTATTTATGCATATAAGAACTGGGGTACAGGCCAGAAGTGCAGGGCGGTGAGGGGATTCATCAGAGACAGAGTGGGGAGCAGAACAGGCAGATTGACTGAAATACACTGCTGAGGGGAGTAGCAGGCGGGTGAGGAGAGGTTTGCTGTGCCATGTGGGTCAGCTCCCTGGCTGGGAATCGAACTCATGCTGAGGTGGCTGCGAATAGTTTCATAGTGCTGTTTGCTTTAACCTGCCGCCACCAGGGAGGGCCCCTCAAGCTGCATTTATAAGCGAAGTGAAAAATGAAGCATTATGGGTAATCCAGAGCCAAATCCCTATTTTGGTGGAAGAGGGTACACAGTTGCTGGTTTACACTGGTAATAAGTACAAAACATTAGCTTCAGTGTGCTTCATTTAGTTGTGTGAACACTAACCTAAAGTATGTGGGCGAGAATTCGCTTTTCCTTCAAAAGCAAAGCATCTCATCAGCCAAACCATACTTGGTAGCTACAACTTCACCAGGCTTACCTGGGACTTGACTTGGGGAATGGTCATAAACAGGTCCAGACTCTGCCCTCACAGATGTAAAGTCTTATGCAGATTCACACCCAGTAGCACTTCTGTAGCAGACGGGGCAGGGCCACCTGCCAGACTCTAGGGTAAGTTTTTCCAAACTGCTAGTTACAATCAGTGAACGGACATGAAATCAATGTAGTGAGTCACTGCAAGACTTTTTTCTTTAATGTAATGGAAAGAATGGAATGAAATGGAACAGAACAGACAGTATCAACATTTATCTTTCATTGTAAGTAAGCCAAGGTATTGTTTCATGAACCAATATTTGGTTTTGGTTTCATATATATATATAATGTATATGAATATTATATATATAATATATAATATATAAATATAGTGTATATATTTATATAGGGGTTTCTTTCTGAGGTGATGTTCTGAAGTAAACAGTGGTGATGATTATACATCCTAGTGGATACACTGAAATTACTATTTTTTTTAAAAAAAAGAAAACCATCTAAATATAGGTAGATAGGTAGGTAGACACACACATGTGCTAACCTTGTTGTGAAAATGTATTTCTCACTATAGGTAGGAATATTTTGAAAAGCACTAGCCTGAGATGGGGGAATTGGAGAAAAGCTTTCTTAAGGTTATAGATCTAAGATTCAGGCCTAAAAGTATTTATCCAAGTAAATAAGAACCTGGGATTGGGGAAAGAAGCCTCCTATAGATGCAAGGGATCAAAGAGGAGAAAATAGATCTGGAGAAAATCATCGTGTCTGCAGTCAGGAAGGCTCCACAGAACTGGCCCCAGTGAAGCAGAAATGAAGGGCCTGGAGCTACCCAAATCTTGGTGAAAAAAAAAAAAAAAAAGACAAGCTGGTGTAGAAGGTAACAGTGCAGTTTAGTCCAATTCACAGCTTTAAGTTAGAATTCTAAGTTCTGTGACCTTGGTCAAGTTATCTCACCTCTCCAGGATTCTGCATGTGAAAAGACGTTAGCCTTCATAGGATTGTTCTAAGAATCCGATCTCCTTAATTATAAAATATGGGTTTATAATAAATATGTATTTAATGATGGAATTTATCCCACCCTTGCAAAAACTGTTACCTAGTCTATTGCATATCTTAAAAGTAAAGGGATAAGTAAAGGGCTTCAGGCAACACCGCACTGAAAGAAATGGGAGTCGAGGAGCAGGTACATAATGCAGGCTGTTGCTAGAGATCAGGATCCTGGCCTTTTTATTGATAAACAATTACTTATCAATTATTAATTGTAAGGGGAAGCAGAAAGGAGAAAGAGTAGTAGAAGAAGGAAAAGGGGAAGGGTGGAACTGTCATCTAGGGTACTAGGGATTGTGAGATGGCTATTCAGGTACTTCTCATCTACTCATAGATCGGTATTGGAACTGAGATCCAGACCTATTGGGTTCCCCAGTTAACAAGGTGTGTTTTACTGATCAACTTCTGGGGCCCCTTTTTATAAATCCATCAATGCCCCCCACCCCCGGCATCAGCACCCCACCCACACCCACCCCACCTTGCTCCCAGTCATACCTCTCGTGATGCTCACCCTTCCCAAGGTAATCCAGCTTTGTGCTCTTAATTGATGTGAAAGGCACATTGTAGGGTTGAGCTCCTGTGACCGAGTAGTTCTGACCTTGCTATAGGAATACAGAACTGTAGGTAACAAAATGGAGGCTGGCTAGGCTATTGAGGATCAGCAGATCCACAGATTTGATAAATAAAAAATGTTAAGTACTAAATTCATTGTTTGGCTAGTATAGACATCTCATGGTTGGAGAAAAGAATTTGAAAGAAAGCCAGTGTCCCCAAATTCTTTGTGTGGAAGAGCTTCTTTTCAAATCCTGGAAATCTTGTGGCCATTTGAGGACTAATCCAGGCAACAGTGGGCTTGAGTCTAAGGGAGGGAGGAGGGGAGAGCTGAAACGTATTGCCGTGGCTGCATTTCTACCCTGGAGCCAAGTGGACCCCAGAGTTAATCCAGCGAGGAGGTCTCATAAGGAACCTTGGTCATCATGAGCTGCCACAAAATCCAGTCATTTGTTGCCCTTCAAAATCCACAAATAAAAAAAGACTGTCACTCATTTGAATGTGCCACTTAATCAAGAGATCATTTTATAAAAGAATGGGAGTAAGGGGAGTTATTTACAGTTTGATTTTTGCCTGAGTGGAAAATGCAAAATAAGTAGAAACACTCTTCAATAGAAAAACACTTCTCTTTTGAGTTTAATTGTGGTTTGCTAAATTTAAGTATTCCAGAAACACTGTTAAGAGTGCTAGTGATTTAGGATAATCACACATTGCTCTGTATCTCCTTAAGGAATTATTTTAAGTTCATAACTTCTTGACTAAGTCATTCCATCCTTTAGTTACTAAGATCTTTAGGAAACAATCTCACATCACGTCATAGCCCAGTCACTAAATTCATTGCATTCTGACCAGTTGAAAATCTTTTACTTAATATATCTGTCCCTCTGGGTGAGCTCAGCTGAAAAGGGGGGAGCTGAACCTTTGTGCTTTGGTCACTAAGCATCTCAAGTGCAGTTTTGAGGGTTCACAAAGACCCTCCTCAGAGGACTCACACTTACGAATTTGTACAGTGCCAAAGTACATTGTTACTCCTAAAATGTTTGCTTCACTTACCTTTGGGAAACTAATATATATTGACCCAAATTCTCATGTGTTGATATTCTTAACCTGCAAGCTATTCTAAGCTAAAAGAACCAAGTCAGAAAGAGCCCTTGATACAAAACTATTTCTGTCAATTAAAACACAAAGCAGGGAAGATCTAAAGGGGTTTCTCCTATAGATGCTAGTCCCGAAACCCAATAAACAGCAATATGCATTGAAGATATACACAAAGAATGGAATATCTAACTTTATAGATCTCATAATCAGGACATTCATTTCAGGCTGATATTTTTAAAGAAATAGGATAATTCAATAGATTTTGACTGATAGGAGTTTCACCCTACTTAAAAGTGAAGGGAAAATGGTTCAGGAACAATCTGCAATTAAGAAGCATGACAAATGACATAGATGGCCAAGTGGTATTCTTTGATATTAGAAAGTAACTGTACTTGAAAATAACTTTATAATTGAATAAGGGTACATTAGGAAAATATGATTCAGAACCAATATTATAGTAATTACATAAAGGAAGCATAAATGAAATAACTGCAGGAAGAATATTTCCATAGAGATTATAAATGAGATTCTGGTGGAGCAGAAAGGCCTTTAATTGTAATTTAGTGTGCACTATAGAATTATCAGCTCAGTGTGTTACTTCATCATATAAAAGAATATCTGATAATTTTCCTTAATAAGCCCATGACAGCTCTTCATATTCCTTCATTACAGCTGATTAAGTGTAAAAACAGTAGATATTCCTTTGTTGGAAAAAAGAGTTCAAATCTTTTTAGAAAGACAGCATAAAGTAGTTGCATTACTACAGCACGTGATCCCAAAAGGCTATTATTTAGGAAATCTGTGGAATTTTAAGTGGCACTTTAAAGAACTCTTCACTTTAGTTTCTTTCCTTCTCCTCTTTGTATTCACCCCATTTTTACCCATGAAATCTTTTTCTTTAGAGTCACATTCTCTGTATTTCAGGCTGTGGCTTCTGATCTTCATCACACAAAAGAAAGCCAAAATTATAGGGGAGTTTCTGCCACTGGGAATAGGCCTCTTGGTATTTCTCTAAAAGCATGGGAACAGATGTGGGTCCCAGATCAGGAATCTGAGGATTTCCTGAGCTGTCATTATTCCCGCTCTGCATGCTCTCAGTTCTTCACTCACTGGGTTTAAGTCCAGACACTCAGCCCCACAGTAACTCAGTCACGAGGGCGAGGACTGGGTCTGATTTGAGGCGAAGCACTTCTCCCCTTCTCTGCTGCCCACATGTGAACTCTGCCCCCTCCCACCTCCCTCAGTCCCAAAGTTCTTGTGATTATGCAGCCCTCCTGAGAAAGCAGGAGAGTTGTTAATAACTATGTAGATTTGAGGCCCCAGAATCCCAGAATTTTGTAATGTCTGCTTTGACTACTGATGATGCTCTTCCTGAGAACCCAGTAGCAGTTCTGGAAGAATATCAGTTTCTTTGTGGTGCTAAAAAGTACTTGAAAGGAATATCTGAATTATTTACTTCATTTGTGTCAACCTAGCAACCAAGAAAGGAGGAAGGAATTTTGATGTAGCAACACACACAGGTCAAGATGTCCTTCGTGAATGCTTCTCATTTAGACCTCAGAGTAGCCCAGAGACACAGCAACTCCCATGCCTGCTTTATAGGAAATCAAGGCTCGGAGATCAGCAAAAACCTGCCCTGTTAGTGAAAGAAACTGGTAATGCAAAAACCCATGTTCCCCCATCTCTGAGAGCCTTTAGATATACTCCTGGACATTACTGGGTCAAGATACAATGAGAAGGAAAATAAAAAATGAGTAAAGTGTTTAAGAACTAGAAAGGCAAAGCCATGAACTCAGGAATGGCTAAATCACCCACTTTTGTCTGACAAAGTAAATGCCTTTTTATTGTTGCTATTGCAATTCCTCATATGAAATGGAAATGACACAGAGTGCTTCACAAAAGTCCTCCTTTTCAAAGAAGAGTGCTCCGTGGTATAAACAGAATTGCTCTCTGTGATTCTGTTATTCACATCACATATGGTCTGTGACCCAGGCAAAGTCAGGCAGTCTGACCTTGGGGATAAGGTGTTTGAAACTGGCTAATGAGGCATGCCATAAGCCCTGAAAAAAAAAAAAAGTAAAAGCCACAAGCCCCAAAGAATTGAAATTAATATCCATAGCAGTGTAGCATGGTAGACCAAGTCATTCTCCCTGGGTCAATTTAGACCTTGATGTTATGTCTCCACAGTTATTCTTATGCTTTGCATGTGACTAGATCTCAGTGCAGATGTCTAAACGGTAAATGAATAAATGCTGGAATGCACAGATTCTTTCCTTACATTTTGTCAATTTTGGCCTGTAATAAAAATTGTCATAAGGCTTTGAATATTCTGAGGTAAAAATAAAGCAAATGTTCAGTTAAACATAGGCATGCCTGTGGCCCTTCTATTCTAAAGAAAGATATGCAATCAAGATGCTGGTGTTAATTTGCTTAATGGAAGGCATGATTTTGCCCTAAGTTTGATAGATCACTTGATCAATAGATAACACATCTTTGTGTTTATTCATGTCAATAAGTGCTTCATTATCTAGTCTACTTGAGAAGCAAGGAATATTTCTATTTCACTGTTCTAGTTAGTAAAGAGTTGACACCTTGCAATTGCCATCTACAAGAAATGGAGTGGTGGTGGTATGCACTTAAACATTAAACCATTGACTGTCCTCCTTGGTGATCTAGCAGTGGCTCAAGCATCCTTTTATGTGGCAAATCCACAGAGGGAAGCAGCAACCTCTTTTATCATTGTGCTGTAGAATATGGTGATAGTGGTAAAAATACAGAGGAAAGGAAATAAGAAATGAGTAAAGCTTTTAAAAACTTCCCTATCTCTGGGGGTGGAGTGGGGAATGGGATCAAAAATGGGGGGGAGGAATGCACGGGATTATGGTGATGGCACACGGGTAACTTGGTGTTGGGAAACCCGTGGGGATTACAATTGAGATGGGGAAAAAAATGTACAAAATGATGTAAAAATAAACTTTTGTAATAAAAAAAAAAACTTCCCTATCTTACTTGGTAAAGTTCCAGCTCTTTGCCAAGTGGAGAGTAAAAAGATGAGTCTATAGTCAGCATTGCTCTAGAAAGGTTTTGAAATGGCAGTGGATGTAACAGTTCCTTTACTAGCTTGCAGAATTAATTGTTGTTCCTTCCAGGAAGATCTCCAACACTTGGCTCAGCACTGGCTGGTTCACAATGACGATTGCCCTGGAGCTCTGTGACAGGATCAATGTTTATGGCATGGTGCCCCCAGACTTCTGCAGGTAGGATTTATTCGGCAAGTGTAATTCATCAGGAGCATTGTGCAGGGCTTATAAATATCTGATTCCAAATATCAAACATGAAACATGTCTAACTGTCTTCTTGAAGCAATTAATTAACATGTCTCAAGTTCTGGATCTAGAAACAACAAACAGCATTTAATTATATGATATAAAATATTGAAAGTTTTTGTTTGTACTGCTGGAGAATTAATCCATCTTGTGGGCTTCATTTAGCCTCTGAATATTTATCAACCAAAAGTAATGCAATAATTGGCATAATATTAACGATGAACTAGCATTAGGAATATTAGTTTTGTTCTCATTTGAAAGGAATGTGGTAATTTTTAATGAACTAAAGAGGGCAATTTCTTTGACAGTAAGCCTGTTTTCTAAAATTAAAATATTCCTCTGAGCCTCTTTCCCTTGCCACATCAGCAGCCTCGGTTTATGCTGCTTCTAAGACCAATAGCATAGGCATGGGTTTTTTTTTAATTTTCTTGTATCATTGTTCATTTTTGTACAAGATTTGATTTCTCCCCTCAGGTATAACCCCCATTAATCACCCACCACCACAGCACCCTGTGAACCATTACCCCAGTCCTTGGTGATCTTCTCCTGGGGTCCCTCTCTCCTCCCCTTCCCTGCTATATGTATCAGACCTATAATTTGCCTGCTAACTTTGTCCCTCTTTTTGACCGCTTATTTAATTTCTCTATATTCCTCCTATAAGCAAAACCATCCAATATTATTCTTTTTTCCTTCTTGATCCATTCTGTTTGGGGACATTTAGGTTGTTTCCATATTTTAGTTATTGTAAAGAGTGCTGCAATAAACATAAGAGTGTAGGTTTCCTTTCAAATTAATGTTTTTTGTACTTTTGTATAGATACCTAGGAGTAGAATTGCTGGATCATATGGTGGTTCCTTTTTTAGTAATTTGAGGAACCTCCACACGGCTTTCCATAGTGATTGGACCAGTTTGCCATCCCACCACCATAACCATTGCTATATTTGCTCTTGGCAGTCTTTTTGATATAGGTCATTCTCACTGGTGTAAGGTGGTGTCTCATTGTGGTTTTGATTTTAATTTCCTTGATTATAAGTGATGTTGAGCATTTTTTTTTTTGTATCCCTTTTGGCCATTTGCAATTCCTCTTTAGAAAACTATATTTTATTTTATTCTTCTGTCCATTTTTTGATTGGGTTGTTTGCTTTGTTTTTGTTGAGTCATATGAGCTCCTTGTAGATCTTTGCTATCAGTCCCTTACAGTACAGAGTGAGAATATTTTCTCCCAATCAGTAGGATGTCTTTTCATTTTGGTTATCGTCTCTTCTGCTGTGAGGAAGCTTTTTAGTTTGATGTAGTCCCAGCTGTTTATCTGTTCCTTCATTTTCTTTGCTACTGGGCATGAGTCCTCTAAGTTATTTCTGGCGTTAGCATAGGCATAATTATTATTTTTTAAAGATTTATTTATTTATGAATACAGAACTGGGGTACAGGCCAGAGGCACAGGGGCGGTGAGAGGATTCACCAGAGACAGAGTGGGGAGCAGAACAGGCAGACTGATGAAGTACACTGCTGAAGGGAGCAGTGGGCAGGTCAGGAGAGGTCTGCTGCGTCATGTGAGTCACCTCCCGGCCAGGGGATCGAACTCATGCTGAAGTGGCTTTAGCTTCTTAGTGCTGTACTTTAACCTGCTGTACCACCAGGGAGAGCCCAGCATAATTATTTTGATGTATCACTTTAAAGGGAACATACAAGCATTTCTGCTGCTACTTCAAGTTAGCTCCTGGTCTGTGCCTAGTTTGGTGTGTACACAGCTTAGAAAATACAGGGCCTGGTTGGGGAAGTCTAATTGAATATTCTTCTCTAAATGAAAGTAGTGATATCAATAAATTCAGAAAATACCCCAGTTTCACAGTTGCTCTGCACGGCTTCAGTCCTGACCTCCAAATAGCAAAACCTGGAGTGGAGACTTTTTAAACTTGCTCATTAAAATATATGCTTGCTTATATCTTCATGGGTTTTTTAAACTTAACAACTTCTTGAAGGACCTAGGCTTGTAGGCAAAATCTACAGTTTGGAAGTTTGAAACAAGGTGGGTATGTGATCATATTGTTACCATTTTGCCACTTTACTTCCACTCATTTTAATCCTGAGACCCAACACAGCAGCAGTAGTAGTTTATATGTAAAGTTGGGTCACAAAGGAGAAGGAAAGATATGGCCAGATCCTACATGGAGTCTGGAGTCAGATTACACAGGTTCAGAGTCCATTTGAGCCACTTACCAACTTATCGTGACCTTGAGTAAGTTGCTCCATCTCTCTATCCCACCTCGTCATCATTAGAAATGGGTTTGATGATAATAACTGGCTCTGTGTCAGAGGGGTATAAGTGGATTAAATAAGTTAATATATGTAAATTGCTTGAAACAGTGGCAGTACATAGCAAGATTTAGCTTGGATGCTCAGTGAGTTCCGCACCGCTTAATTCAATGGCCCTGCTTCTCTGTTTAACAACTTATGTGCAAAAATGTAGGTGGGGTGATGTAAAAGAGCAAATTGCCTCCTCAAAGCAACAAACTAACAAAGGCAGTGGGAGCAGCACTTATGGGCATGCAAAGAACTGTCAGAGCTGATGGTTATTTGGCAGGTATAATTATGTAATATTGCCATTAGGACGCCAAAGAGAAAGCATGAATAAATTGAAATGTTAATGACTTCAAGTGTTCAAGGAAATATTCCATTTATTATGGAAAACAAATGAAAGGCAAGTTAACCTGTCATTTCTCTTACTCAGAGTTAGTTCATCATGACTTCATGTGCATAGAATGAAAACATCTTATGGGTTTATACTAACAAGGAAGCTAAGATGAAGTCCATGCACCATACATTGCTGACTGCTCTGGGTTTCTGTTCCTCAGCCACTATCCCAAGGTTTCTAATAGTTGATCTCAAAAGCTACTTTTTGCAAGATATCCTTCAAAAGATCCCTGTGCCTAGCAGCCTGTCTGAGAAAGTGTAGAAGTGTCCTCTCGTGGGGAGGGATGGCCAGAGAGAGCTTCCCGCTCTCAGTGCTGTCTGTTCAGGATGAACAAGAGGGAAAGACTAGTAGTGCAAACTAATTCCTGAGTTCCCTTTACCTTCTCTGCCAGGATATATTGGCTGAACTGCCAGCACCCAGTTCCTCACTGAGTAACCTTGACCCTTACTTTTCTCATCTGATGGAGATGAGACAATAGTAATAACAGCAAGTGAGTCGTGGGGGTGTATTAAATAAGATCATGGATATAGAACATTTGACAATGCCCAGCACACAGCTATTGCTCAAGGCAGGTTATTAGTATCATTAATGTTCCTATTAGTATTTTACTATAGATCTATGGAATAACCGTTTCCCTAAGTACTTAAGCGTTATCCAAAAAGATACCAAGAATTTTGAGGGTTCCAAGAATAGGGCATGGTTCTTTCCTCTTAGCATCTTACGATAAACCTTCCCTACAAAAAAAATACATTTAACTGTCAACCAACAAGTAATCGTGCTGTCATATAATCAAGAAAGTTTTGATTTGAGAATAGGAATTATGGACTGAGTCCATTGAATACCCCCAAGGTTTGCAGCACAAGAGAGGAGTTTGAAGCACCAGCAGGGAAGGGGTCTGAGCTTATTTATGTTATGGTTGGTTCCTAAGCCCATCTGCCCATGACTGTTGGACCAGAGGCTGTGGTGTGGGGTCTGCCATGACAGTCAACAGAAGAGCTCCACTTTCCTTCCTTCCAACTGAGTCAGGCTACCTCAGCCATTCACCCAGAAGTCTCAGCGTGTCAGTGAAAGACAAGGTGAAGTCCCAGTCCAAGTAAATTCTGCGGAACACAGCAAAACTACCTCAAATCAAATGACATAAGTAGTATGCCAAGGATAGTGAATAAGCAACTTGTAAGTCAGTCCTGCTCCTAGTCTGACCTTCCCTGCTGTGTCTTTATTTGGGAAAAGGCTGAGAACTGTAACCAGTCAAATAAGACACAAGTATCAAAAGCCGTGGCACTTAAGAAGATACAATATCACCACGGCCAAAAGTGGCAGGCAAGGTTGGGGAGACAGTGATCGAATCCACCGGGATGTAAACTCCCCGAAAGGCAGAGGTTTCTGCATGCTAGGCTCACTGAGGAACATGGATGCAGAAGGAAGGCATTAGATATCATCCTGGCCTGGAGCGGATGCTCTGTTAGTATCAAGTGAATGAATGGCTGTTTAGTGCCCACTAGCTCTTTAGTGCTGCAGTAAAGAGTATTATATGGTGAAAATCACCATTGCTGCTTCTCAGAAGCTGTGTGACCTTGCAAAGTTATTTGACCTCATTGAGCTTTAGTGACCTTGGACAAGTTATTTAATAACCGTCTCAGAAGTCTCAGCTTCTGCATCTGTAAAATGATGATGACAGTTGTACTTACCTTCATATGATGCCATAAGATGATATATTGCATATGATATATAAAATATGACTATTTATAATCATTATATATTATGTGATATGTCCATAGGTAATAGATGAGAAATGATGGGGTGAAATCCAGTGTACGTTAAGCTCATAGAAAGTTCCCAGGTAAAGACACTCACTGATATGCAGATATAGACAACATTAACACAGTTTGAGGAGATGCCCAGAGAGCACTAATGAATGTGCTTGTTGGTGGGGAGGGCCTGTCTGCTGCAAAGGGGAGGCACGTGCTTCCTGTGTGAACTGGACCCCCCTTTTCACCACTGTTAAGGATTGGTTTCACATAACCCTTAGCTCCCTGAAGGACGTCACATAGGGCTGTTCACACATGCCAACCCATTCCATTGCTTCCTTAGAAGGCCCCATATCTCACTGGGATGAAGAATTAGTTAGTTCCCTGGGGCCAGATTTCAGCAAAAAGGAAGCTGACTTCATTTTTGGTGAATTCACTTTTTCAGACTTTAAAACATAACTAATAACTATAAAGAATTTCCTTCGTTG